CTGCCAAGATTAGAACCAGCACCTATATGGGACCCTGGTGCATTTAAGGTGTGAACTTTAGCTTCTAGGCTACCATGCCAGATCCAGAGTAACAGAATATTAAAACAAATTTATGTCTATGTCTTTTGCTAAGATCCTGGAGGATGGTATAATTAACACAGTGAAAGTGTCATTGCACATCCTCATGGCAATCCATTTTGGATGATGATATTTGTGGAAACAAAATATGCATAAATAAGTTAACTATCTATTGAAGAATGTTTTAAGATTTATTTGTTTTTATTGGAAAGGCAGATATACAGAGATGAGGAGAGACAGAGAGGAAGATCTTCTGTCCAATGGTTCACTCCTCAAGTGGCTGCAACAGCCGGTGCTGCTCCGATCCGAAACCAGGAGCCTCGTCCGGGTCTCCCATGTGGGTGCAAGGTTCCAAGGCCTTGGGCCATCCTCGACTGCTTTTTCAGGCCACAAGCAGGGAGCTGGATGGGAAGTAGAGCTGCCAGGATTAGAACCAGCACCCATATGGGATCCTGGTGCATTCAAGGCAAGGACTTTAGCTACTATGCCACTATGCCGGGCCCATATTGAGAAATTTTTAAGAAGATTTACTTCATTTATTTGAAAGGCAGAATTAGAGAGAGAAAGAGAGAAAGATCTTCCATTTGCTGGTTTACTCCCCCAAAGGGTACGATAAACAGGGCTGAGATAGGTCAAAGCCAGGAGCCTTTACATTTCCTATGTGGTTAGGCAGAAGCCCAGGACTTGAACCAATGCCCCTATGGGGGATGCTGGTGTCTCAGGCAGCAGCTTAACTTGTTATGCCACAGTGCCAGGCACGGGCCAAATAAATAAATAAATAAATACGACTCACTTATTCACTTGAAAGGCGAAAGAGCTACAGACACACAGGTAGGTCAGGCCAGAACCAGCAGTCTGAAACCCCACCCACGTCTCCCGTGTGGTGCAGGGGCCCAGTCACGTGGCCTGTCCCTGACTGCTTTCCCAGGTTCATTAGCAGGGGGCTGGATAAGAAGTGGGAAGACCAGGGCTCACACCAGCACGCAGTCTTGACATTGCAGATGGCAGCTTAGAGTACTATGCCACAAGAAAGGCCCCGGTTTTTGAGTTCGGGAAATCACAACGCTTTTAACAATTCTACACAAGGTCAGGACCTCCCAGCAGCCTTCAGTTCTGCTGAGTTCTTACATAACTTCTGGCAACTGAGCCTGCTCTTGTGTTTCAGCCGCGAGATTTCCAACGGCCTGAAACTTGTCGGAGTTTAAGGTGGCATGGGCATGAACGAACCTCCTGGAAGGAGCCGGGGAAGAAGAGTGAAAGTAGCTGAAAGAAGACACTACGAACAGGGCATAGGAACAGTCATTGGAAAACCCGATGACTGGCCAGGAGACAGAGCCACCCACACTGGGGCCCTTGCAGGCCAGCCTCCCAGCCGCAGCTCCTTCCAGAATGCTCAAAACTCGTGCCACGGACAGCCTCATAACATCTGTGACAGGTCACGTCTTCCCCACAGAGTGAACCTCCTTGAAGGTAACCCACAGGTGTCCCAGCTCACAGATTTCCTTTATTAGCAGGAAAAACCAGCATCTCTAGCACACACGAGATTGTCAAGGCACACTAACGGTAAGATGTGTTCTCCAAACGTTCCTTCCCTTTAAGGCTGTCGAGGCATCCCTGATCTCAGAAGCTCCCCGAGTGTGAAGCGTTGGCACACATGAATGCCCCCGGGATGGAGAAAGCGGCCAGTCACATAGCACTGGGCCTTGAATAGAACTAAGCAGGATAGTCTTGATCCTGATCCACTTCTCCAGTGGCACCTGTCAGGATCTTGGCTTCCGGTAACGCAGCATCAACTTAAAAAAAAAAAGATTTATTCCTTTTTACTGGAAAGGGGAGAGAGGAGGAGAGACAGAGAGGAAGATTTTCTGATCTCTGATTCACTCCCCAAGTGGCCTCAACAGCCGGTGCTGAGCCAATCTGAAGCCAGGAGCCTGGAGCCTCTTCCGGGTCTCCCTGGCGGTTTCAGGGTCCCAAAGCATTGGGCTGTCCTCGACTGCTTTCCCAGGCCACAAGCAGGCAGCTGGATGGGAAGTGGGGCTACCGGGATTAGAACCGGTGCCCATATGGGATCCCGGCACTCACAAGGCAAGGACTTCATCCACTAGGCTGTTGTGCTGCCCCCACTTTTTAAAAAATGGTCATCTTCTTTGGGCCTGGCACGATGGCACAGTGGTTAAGGTCCTTGCCTTGCACACCCGGGGATCCCATATGGTCGCCGGTTCTAATCCCGGCGGCCCCGCTTCCCATCCAGCTCCTTGCCTGTGGCCAGGGAAAGCAGTGGAGGACGGCCCAAAGCTTTGGGACCCTGCACCTGTGTGGGAGACCTGGAAGAGGCTCCTGGCTTCGGATCGGCATAGCATCGGCCGTTGTGCTCACTTGGGGAGTGAATCATCGGACGGAAGATCTTCCTCTCTGTCTCTCCTCTCTGTATATCCACCTTTTCAATAAAAATAAAATAAATCTTTAAAAAAAAATGATTATCTTCTAACTTATAGGCAACTATCTTCTTCAAAAACATTGTTTAGTTCAGGGCCCAGTGTTTTGGCATAGTAGGTTAAGTTGCCATCTGTGACACTGGAGTTCCGTATGGGCACTGGTTGGAGACCTGGCTGCTCCCCTGATCCAGCTCCCTGCTAATGTGCCTGGGAAAGCAGCTGGATACGGCCCAAGTGCTTGGCCTCTGTACCCGCCTGGGAGACCCAGAAGAATCTCTGGGCTCCTGGCTTTGGGATGGCACGGCCCTGGTCATTGCCGCCATTTGAGGAAAGAAACAGCACATAGAAGATCTCTTTCTCTTTGCCTCCCATTTTGTTCTGTAACTGCCTTTCAGAGAAATAAAAATAAATCTTTAAAATGATTCTTTAGGTTTAATTTACGTGGAAGCGGGGGTGGAATGGGGGGGTGGAGAACGCCTGCAAACAGCTGGATCTGGGTCTAGTAATGACAGAAGTCAAAAACTGCATCTGGGTCTCCCATGGGGGTGGCAGGGACCCAGGAACCCGGGCCAGCAGCACCTGCTGCCTCTCGGCGGTGTGTGTGTGTGTGTGTGTGTGTGTGTGTGTGTGTGTGTGTGTGTGTGTGTGTGTGTGTGTGTGTGTAACATCCTTGGCAGCTCAAATGGAGCGTGGACTCGGTCCTGTACCCGGACACCTGTGGGCTGTGAGTGCTCCAGGCAGCACCTCTGTGGTTGTACCAGCACGGAATTATTTTTTTAGAAATATTTATTTAAGGGGCAGAATGTGAGAGAGAGAGAGAGAGACAATGAGAGGATCTTCCAGGTGCTTGTTCGCTTCAAAGCCAGGAGCCTCATTCAGTTCTCACCTATGGGTGCAGGAGCCCAAGACCCTGGGCCATCTTCCTCGGCTTTTCCCAGGCAAATTAGCAGGGAGCTGGATCGGAAGTGGACCTTCCTGGACTCGAACAGACACCTCTACGGGAAGCCAGCGCCCTAGGCTGTGGCTTTCCGTGTTACTCCACAGTGCCAGCCCCACCAGTACTGAATTTTTACACATGTTGAGACTATATAGAGTTTGAATATCCGCCCCAAAACTCAGGTGGACATTGAATTGTCATCACGAAGGTGTTAGGGGGCGGGCTAGGGAGGGCTTTTGGCCTAATGGAGTCCTGGCATCCCTGATTCATGCTTCCTACTGGCACGAACCCCGAGCGGCAGTGGGCAAGACCCGGGCAGGTGGGTTCCCACTGTCCATACGGAAGACAAGGATGGAATTCCTGGCTCTCCCTTTCCTTATAGGCGCCTGCTGAATGAACTGCTGACTAGCAGGGAGAAAGAATTAAAATCTTTAAGGGGTGGAGAGGAGATGGATGGATCTAATAATTCAGGCGTAGCTCCCTTCCCTAATTGGAACTCGTAGGCTGAGCTGACGCTTAGCTAAGACACTGCCCTCTTGTGGACTGGACAGGAAAGGGCGAGGTTGGGAAGGATTGAGCCAGGGAGCACTGGGGGGAATGATGGAGGGAGAGGAGAAAGGTGGGCCGGAAGTCCCAAGTGGAAGGCAGCCAGTGGTCCTCGCTCTGCCCACCTTTCCTTCTCCCTTTATCGTTGCCGATGAGGCCATGCAGTCTGACCTTCTGAGGGACGTCCAGAGGCACAGCCACCTCTTAGGGGACAGCCGATGAACAGGTGACTATTTGGTTTGTTAAGACCTTACGATGCTGTTACATTGGCCATAGCTGAGAGCGGTACTCCTGGTCCGGCTCTGGCGGTGCAGCTAGAGGGGTTCCAGAGAGGAGTGGCTGTGCATGGGGTAACACGGGATTGGCAGACACAAGGGGAAGAAGCAGAAAGGAGAAGCTTGGGGCAACTAAGCCACAGGCAGCCGTGCGGCGAGGCAAGAAGAGGGAAGAGACATAGAACAAGCCTGGTATGCAGAGGTAGGGAGCCAGCCGCCAGTGCGGCCCCTGTGCTGGGTGCCCACAGAGCCGGGACCATACAGTCACTTCCTCTGCTGCCTGTAGCTTTGAAACGCGAGTTTAAAGAAATTCATCTATTTATTTGAAAGGCTGACTTAGAAAAGCTTCCACCTGCTAATAGCTACAATAGTCAGGTGTGGGCCAGGCAGAAGCCAGGAGCCAGCAGCTCCACCTGGATGTCCCAGAGGAGCGACGGGGACACTGCTGGGCTAGCTTCTGCTGCTCTTGCAGTGTGTTAGCAGGGAGCTGGATTCCAGGTGGAGCAGCCAGGACCCAAGCCAGTGGCAGGCAGCTGTCTTAATCTACTGTGCCACAATGCCAAGCTGTGTGTGTGTGTGTGTGTGTGTGTGTGTGTGTGTGTGTGGCGTCCCATATTCAAGTGCCTGGGTTCTAGCTGCAGCCAGTCTACTTCCACACATCTCCCTGCTCCCTGGGACAGCAGCAGCGGACAACCCAGTACTCGGATGGCGGTTCAGGCTTCTGCCTCTGGCCTAGCCTCGTCCCCGCTGTCGCAGGCATTTGGGGAGGGAACCAGTCCATGGAAGACCGCTCTGTTTCTCCTTCTCTCTGTGGCATTCTGCCTTCCAGATAAATAAATCCCCCTTTCTCATTTTGAAGCATTTTAAGTCTGTGAGGCTTTGTACACCAACATCAAAAGCAAGTATGTGCTTTCGCAGTCCTAGCTGACCCTGGAATCATCTGGAAGCTATTCAAAAATGCCTCTGGCCAGGTCCAGCCCAGAGGGGAGACTCTGGGAAGCAGGTTTGGTCTTAGAAACTTTTTGAAAGTTCCAGGTGGTTGAGGCAGGCAACCAGGACTTAGCCACCAGTTTAAAGAAGCCATGAGTCGAATTCTCACATGGATTTCTGCTTCCCCTTGAATTATGAATCTGAATTTTTAATTTCAGCAGATCTGAGTCAGTTCACCACGTACGAGTTGAGGTTATTCAAGTCATTTGACATTTGGACCAAAGGAGGGGTGGAGCTAACTTAGGAGCCACTGGGATGTAATTGGAAACCAACTTATAAAGTCAGGCCAAGGAGACCTGGTGTGTAAGAGACAGGCTCCTAATAGGGTGACTTGAACACACATCGCACATCACACTCAAGTTTGACCATCAACGAAGCGGAACAATGAACTAGCAGCCTACAGGCGCTTCAACTTGCAGACTCCATCCTGAGAAAGCTGTTGCAAATGAGCAATTTTAAAGTTGCGTGCTTCTCACATTTTGAAACGACGGCAATGCCAACAGGGGCAAAAATATCACTAAAATGTTCGAAGCGTCGTCATTCACATTTCACGTACAATATTTATCCCTGACTCAGAGGTGGTGCCTGGAGAAGTGAAGGCCTACCACTCGCTCGTGCAGCCACCGATCGCCCTGTGTGCAGTTCACAGCACACGATTCCGACACAAAAGACAGCTGAGTCTGTCAGCACCAGCCGGTGACACACTTGGGTTTCCACATGCGCCCTGCTAGTCAGTACGCCTTGCTTGGCTCAGCTGTAGCATGAATTTTATATCTCTCCTGTGACTACAGCTGCTATAAAGGTCATTTCATTAAACTTGGAAACCATCTAGAAATTTAACTGTCAAAGATTCTTACTATTTTCTAGGCAGCCTACTGGTTTTCTAAGTTTGACGCGTTCATTTGAACAATTCTTTTTAAGGAGCTTAGCAGTAGCTGCTGTAACATTTAGTTCACCATAGAAACCAAAGTTAAGGAACATACGTACCTGGAATCCTATTGAGCGTCACCCAGAAGTGTTCATCGGGACTGTACGTGTCCTTGGACCAGGCGAGTAAGTCCCGGGCAAGCTGGCTTTGGAGGACAAAGTTGGCAAATTCTCTCGTGAGAGCCACATAGGCAGTACCGAAGTAAATGGTCACATTGTGAGGAGGAGGCGGTTTTAATTTGGTTGTTTTATGCACATAGGAGTTTCTGCTGTTTAGTAGTTCCCGGTGGACGAATTTAGTCCGGCCGACGGCATGAGCTGGGGGCAGCACCCCCGGGGTGATATTCTTCCCTTTAAAGCCTTTCAGGTACTGAATGATTTCCCGGTTGGTCTTGAGGGGGAAATCTTGCCCGCACGTGTTGATGAGGTATTTCCAGGGCACCGTGGAGGCCACGAGGTCCTTCATGCAGTTCAGATCGGCCTGGAGCCTGGAGATGCCTGCGTAGACCACGGGCTCCAGCTTGGAAGCCAGGAAGGCGTTGGGAAAGCAGCTCAGTAATTGGTGAACAGCGACTTTAAATGCACCTGTCGCCTTCTCGTCCACGTGCACGCAGTAGACGTTCTGGGGCATGTAGACGGCCCGGAAGACTCTCTCGAAAGTGCTGAAGTCCTTATGGATGGTCATGATGTAGGCCAGCGGGAAGCTGGCCTCCTCGGCAGACAGCGGTTCTGTTATATAATGACTTTGTACCACATAGTCGCGGCAGCTGGACGCCTGGAAGGTCGTTCTCAGCGCATTTTCTGATACCCCTAGGACCTTCCCGGAAAGAATCTGCTGGCAGGCGTCTGCTAACACTGACGCATTGGACAGAGCTGCCCTCAGAAAACGTCTATTCTCCCACAGCTCACTGTCGTACACAAACACGAAGACTAGCGCAGACACCAGGGATATGCTGAAAAGACAGTGCTTCCACGAGCCCATCATCCAAAGCCAGGAAGTGAGTCAGACGCGTATGGCGCTGGGATCTCACTGGCCACAGATCCAACTTACATTTTTTTCCCCCTTGGGCTCCAGGCTCAGCCTCTTGCTGCAGGCGGGCTGTGCCGGCGTCCCGGGGCTGTGCTTTGTCCTCTCAGGTGGAGGAGGCTGCCGTCCTGTTGGCTCTCCTCCCTTCCCCCTTCATCGGCTGCTGCTCGGCCGAGGCGGCGTTTTCACTTTTCTTTGACACATTTCTCAAGTAGTTCTTTTCCATCGGCTTTATAGCCGCCGCCCCCCCACCCCCCACCCGGGTCAATCTGTTAACTACGCAAGAACAGCCCGCCCCTGGGAGGTCCTGGGTCCCAGGCTTCCACCTGTGCCCACAGGGAAGTGGGCAGTGTGGGAGCTTACCCGGCGGCGGCGACGAGTCGCGGCTGCAGACTTCAACCCCAGCCTCTTCTCAGCAGCGCCAAAGGCTGCTGCTAACTGTGTCAGCTCAGGCTTCCTGTTAATCATTGCGTTCGACTGACCCGGTTTGTTTGCTTAAACGGCACTGCCAAGTTAAAAGCTTTCAGTTTGCAACATGTGAGCCGCTGCTAGGGGAGACATTCTGTCGATAACAACGTCCCGCTTAAAAATAAATCGCGTAGCCCTTCCCTCGCACCCCCGCCCTCTGCAGCCAGGCTGGGCTCGCTCTACAGCGCGGCGCACCACAGCCCGTGGGGCCAGAATCTTGGCAAAGCTTACGTTTTCCCCTGCTCCTGGAAAAAGTCCTTGAAAATGTTTGTTAATTAGCAAGCTTTTACCTCATCATCCAACTTCCTGCACGGGGAGATGGAGGGCAGGGAAGGGATATACAGGATCGGAGTCTGCGGATGCTGAAAGGCACACTTCGTGTTCATTTTTAGAAAAAATTGATTTCTTGGGAATTTTATTTGTGTATTTGAAAGGCAGAGAGAGAGAGCAACCTCTTGTCTGCGCACTGATTCACTCTCCAAATACAACAGCTGGGCTGGGGCCAGGATACAGCTGGAGACTCAGTGAAGGTTTCCTGTATGGGTGGTGCGGACCCAAGGACTTGAGTCATCGCCACCTGCTCCCCAAGGGGGTGCGGTACTAGGAAACTGGAGGGGGAGGGCAGGAAGAGGGGCCAAGATCTGAACCCAGACACTTTTGGGTTCTAAGCAGTGTTGCCCCGAACACCTGCCTTGGTTAACCTCTTAAACACACACACACACACACACACACACACACACACACACAGAGGAAAAAAAAAAAAGGAACAGATTGTAAAACTTGTGTAAGGGATACAGCTAGCGATTGAATGACAAGCACAGCATACTTCGAGGTAGGAGAGAGACGCTCTGTCAATTTCTGTTCCTGAACTGGGGAGAGGCTCTTCGATTCAGGTTTAATCCGTGCTTTCAAAGGAGTTTCGTTATGTGTAGGAAAGCAAAAAGGCTTTTTTCACCCTTGCTCCACTGGGAGAATGAAGCAGCCTATGAAGCTGACCAACCCACCCAGGAACAAATGGGTGGAGGAGGAAGTGACATTCAGCATGGGACTCCACGAAGCACACACATCCCTCACACACAAGGAGCGCCTCTCCCCACAAGACATCTCCTTCCTTTCTGATGCCTTCCTCTGTCAGCCCGTGACGATGGCATCTCCCGTCTACAATGGCAAGGCTGAGTTCTGTGATATTTAGCAGCCAGCTGCTCACATGGGTGTGGCAGGGAGTTCCAACAGGCTTTGGGCATCCATATAACTCACTTGGACTCGCTTCCGGGATTGTCTCTCCAAAGCAGACAATCAGAAATGGATTGATTGAGTGCTCAAGTTCTCGTGGTCTTGTTTTCCTGAAGGGGTTAGTGAATGGCTCCTGGCAGTAGTCTAAGTTCAGACCCATAGGCTTGTATGCTGGAACATGGTGTATAATACACGTATTTGTGCAACAGTCCTCTTAATGATAAGATGATGTATATTACAGATAGTGTACAAAAAAGAACATTTTCCCATCCTATACTTGCAATTACCTTTTGCCCACAGACGTAGACATTTTTACTGTATTAAAGCACATGTCCAATGCAAGCTTACGTCCTGGTTTTGGCATCTAGTATAGTGGGGTGCCACCGTTGCTGGCACACACTGCTTGTCAGATTAACTGACAGTGGACAAGGAAGGAAAATGGAATTTCTGCCCCCCCCATCCTTCCTACCTCCTCTCGCACCATTCAAGTTCATTGAAGGCGTGAAAAGTGCAACCTGCCCCTCCTGGCTTCCCCACCATTATAGCAGCTGACAGTGCAGAAATTACTCTGGAGGCTCCACACACCTGGGCCCTCCTGCCTCCTGTTGTGCTGTTAGGTTAGTTAACTACAGGGAAACTTTGGGCTCTGCTAACTCCCTTCCTGCCTGAAACTTGGTTTGTACTGCAGGACTCTCAGTCACGTTGGAGGATGATGAGAGCTTAAAAACCCCTGACTTTGGCAGCTCGGTGGCGCAGTGGCTCCTGGAGTGTAGCGGGAGGTGCTCTCAGCAAACTTGGGAAGTAAAGACTCCTCCTAACATCCTACACTTGGGTCTGGTGTGATCTCTCTCGCACTCGGCAACACTAATAGCACGTTATCTGTGGTCCTCAAGCTCACTCTGCAGGACCCAAGCCTGGAGCTGTTCCTGCTTTCTTCTCCCCAACCGAACAGAATGCTAAACCATTCATGAGGAACACAGGACATATTGACAAGAGGGAACCCCAGGAAAACCTTCTAGAATCGTCTGCTGTCGTCTTAGAAGTTGGAGGCTAGGCCCACGTGGATCTGCAATCCCTTCACTCATATTATCAATATTAAAATAACAGCTAAAAAATAAAGAACTGAGGAAAAAAATGAATTGGACTCTGCAGGCTAGGGCAGGCACACACAATCTTATTGTCATAAAAAGTCTTCAAAAGTTGATGGCAAATGCCAATGATGCGAAAAACCACACAAGGTTTTTAAGAATGTTGCATCAAAATAAATTTATCTTTTTTTATGTAATAAAGATATGTCTTTTTAAAAAAGATTGACTTGGTTATTTGGAAGGTGCAATGACAGAACCATCTGCTGGTTCACTTTCCAGCTGGTCTCGGTGCCTGGGGCTGGGAGTTCCATATGGGTGTCCCATGTAGCAGAGGAACAAGCACTCAAGTCATTCCCACTGCTCTCCCAGGCACGTTAGCAAGGAGCTGGATCAGAATTAGAGCAGCTGGGACTCCAGGTGATACTCTGATTTGGGATACCAGCATCTGGTAGTGGCTTGACCTACTGTCCCACAACTGCAGCCCCTTGCCATTTTTCAAGGAATGCGTATGATCCTATTTTCTTTTTCCCTACGGGTTGTTTTTGGAGAACACTGGTTCTCCTGATCCTCTGGCCTTCCTGACACCGTCTGGGATCTGTGACTTCCGCGTCTGAACCCTGGGCTCAGCCTCGATGCCCTTGTCTTTGAGTCAGATAACAGGGAGTGATGACAATGAGTGACTCAAAAGAACAGACACTATCCAACACATTGGAACATTAGATCAAAACTAGTTATGTAAATTCTAACTTGGGGGTGCAGGTCCGATGAGATAAGGGGATCTAATGGCTCTGTGAGTCAGGAGAGAGGTATGGTTTGGTCATTCAAGAGATATTTCTTCCTCTGTAATGTACACCCACAAATTCCCACTCCAGGAAAGCAAGCGGACTTCTGCTGCTCTAAGCTAAGTGCACTCAGATCAGCAAGTGAGTGCAGGAAGGGTGCAAGGAAAAGACAACTTCATTGTCCTTACCTTACTAATTTATAAGTCATGTGACGTCCAAGTACCTTTCACACATTTATTTCAATATGACATCGCTTCACCGTTCGTGGGTTGGAAAAAAAAAAGAGGCCGTCGGAAACTCTCTCATTGTTTTGCCAAAGTCTGGTGAGTTCTCAGAGAAGGGACACCTTGGAGTAAACTCATTCTTAAGTGCCCCGACACCTGCTGTTTTCTCGCTACCCCACACGTCTTCCTTTGCTTTCTTCACTCTTGTTCAGCGTTTTACCCAGCCACATTTCTTTGCAACCACAGGAAATGGCCTGAAGCAATGTGGTTGAAAATCGTCCGGAAGTGCGGGTTGAACCGGGGCCACTTCTGGACAGACTCGGAGCCTTTCAAAAAGTCACTTGACTCCCAGCTTCCGGTGGAGCCAACGTGACAAAACCACGCTCACAGATCCTGCAGGCCACAAGGGCTTTGTGAAAAATAAAAAGTTCTCATGAAAGGAGCGAGAGGGCCTTTCAGGACCGAGTCAGGGAGAAGCCATGCGGCGTGGCCTGCCTGCAGCTGCGGCCTGCACCTGCCCTTCCATCACCTCCACATTGACCATGGGAGACAGTGACGCTGCTTAAGAACCCACGAGCTACTCGGCCTTGTGTTTCGTGGACATTTCTATCCTGTTTATATACTTTTTTTTTTTCAATTGTTCACCTAGATCCTGTTCCTTTTCAACATGTAAGTTCCCATGTTTCCTGCCTTAGACGGAACACTGATTCAGTGACCTGAACCTTTGGTTCTCAAGTCGTTTAACTCCAGGACCACCCGAAGAAAAGCCCTTCCTGCACATTTGTCCTTTCTGAGTTTGCTTTCATGAACAGAGACAACACCGTTAGAGAGAGAGCCTCACAGTCCAGCTGGAGCCTCCTTCCTGGCTGGGTCGTCCACGGCTGTGGTCTTGGTTGGTCTAGACATTCTGAAGGTCATTACCTAAGGTGTCAGCTCAGTCTGGTCAGTGATGTCAGGGCTAATTACAGAACTTAAAGGGAAGCCAGAGGGGAGGAAGAGGGCATGGGGACAGGTCGCAACAGCTAAACCTAAAAGAGCTCAGAAGACAGTCGCTGGGAACTGTGAGAGAACCTTGGCCTTTTCAAGCTCCACCAGCTAACTACATCCCTGGAGGGTGTCAGGCTGAGCCTACAAGCCGAACAACAGGGCCCAGCCGTGATGGCTTGGTTGGCTAAATCTTCATCTTGTAAGTGCTGGGACCCCACACAGGTGCCCACTCATGTCTTGGCTGCTCCACTTCCCATCCACCTCCCTGCTTGTGGCCTGGGACAGCAGTCAAGGACGGCCCAAAGCCTTGGGACCCTGCAGCCACATGGGAGACCTGGAAGAGGCTCCTGTCTGTGGATGAGCTCAGTTTTAGCCATTCCAGCCACTTGGGGAGTGAATAAGTGGATGCCAGATCTTTCTGTTTCTTTTCTCTGTAAATCTGCCTTTCAAATAAAAACAAGTCAATGCTTTTACAAAGAAGCAGCAGCCGTATGATAAAGGACAGCTTGGTGTGAGTTAAGCATCTGCTTCAAAGGCACTTTTTAAAGTTTTTTTTTTAAAGTTTTTTTTTTTTAACTGTAAAGTCAGATATACATAGAGGAGCAGAGACAGAGAGGAAGATCTTCTGTTTGCTGATTCACTATCCAAGTAACCGCAATGGCCTGGAGCTGAGCCAATCTAAAGCCAGGAGCCTCCTCTGGGTCTCCCACACAGGTGCAGGGTCCCAAGGCTTTGGGCCATCCTTGGCTGCTTTCCCAGGCCACAAGCAGGGAGCTGGATGGGAAGCGGGGCTGCTGGGGTTAGATGCGGTGCCCATAGGGGATCCCAGCATGTTCAAGGAAAGGACTTTAGCCACTAGGCCACTTTGCCGGCCCCTGAATGAAATGCTTTAAATGCCAGATAGTACCAGGTGCCTTATTAAATGCTGAAAACATTACACCTTGCCCAAAGGAAATAATCGTCTACCATAAATCATTAACTTAGCACTGAACACTGGCCCTCCCATAAATCGTTCAAACTTGGACCTGACATACAACACTTATGCTTTCACAAGACAGAGAAGCCCTGACTCCCTGCGGCAGCACGTCCCCTCGTGGACCAACATGTAAAAGTGCTCCTCTTGGAAAAAGTTTCAGAAATAGACACTCAGGTGTCAGAACCAAATGGCTCCTTCACTCACCCCACAGTGCTTCGGTACTTATGCCACGTGTTGTGCTAGGTTCCAGAAACAAAAACATACATGTAACCCAAATGGGGCCCAGTGCACAGAGCCTTCACTGCGCCCAGGGCTTACACGAGGAGTCATGCAGGAAGAGGCACATCCTCGGCTTTCCTTCCTCTAGTATTTCCCCAGGAGAACAAACTGTCTCGGAGTGGTTGACAGGAGCACCGGGCCTCCTCCAGGTAAAGGCAGCTGAACCACGGGGTTTAAAATGAAAATGAACACAAGCTGAACCATGAAAGTGCCAAGGTCACTGAGCCTCCAGTCCCACCTGGGAGGCTGTTCTTAGAGCCTGGGAGACAGCATGCAAGGAGCCCGGCATCTGGATTGCTAAGGCTACAGGAAGTTCAAGTGCTCTCCGATAGCATCAGATCCTTTCTTCACAGAATCCTGGAAGCCTTTGAGTTGAACGCTTCTTACTGTAGGAATATAAGAAATCGCTGAGGGCCCAGCACTGTGGCCTAGCAGCTAAAGTCCTCACGTTGAATGAGCCGGGATTTCATATGGGCACCAATTCTGATCCTGCCAGTCCAGCTTCCCATTCAGCTCCCTGCTTGTGACCTGGGAAAGCAGTCGAGGACAGCCCAAAGCCTTGGGATCCTGTATCCTCGTGGGGGACCCAGAAGAACTCCAGGCTCCTGGCTTTGGATTGCCTAAGCTCCAGCCGTTGCAGTCACTTGGGGAGTGAATCAACGTACAGAAGATCTTCTTCTCTGTCTCTCCTCCTCTCTCTATATATTTGACTTTGCAATAAAAATTTAAAAATAAACCTTTTTTTAAATGTATTTTTATTTTGAATTTTGAATTATGTGGTAGAGTTTCGTATAGGCTGGGATTCCCCCACAAACTCCCACCCCCCCACAGATTTTTTCCATTTTACTACAATATGTAGTCCTTCATAAGGAATCATAATTCTATCAGTCTCTTATTTAAGTGTACCCCGACATTGTTGACAGAAATAATGTCAGACAGTCCAGCATCCCATTGTCTACACATGTCCAACAGTTTCATTGGGAATCCATCTTTTGTCTGGAAGCAGGGATGCATGTTCCATTATAACCCCATATCTGGATATGGTGGACCCCGGTACTCCATCAGTATACATTTCCATAATTGAGAAGCCATGAAACCAGATCAACAACTAGTATGAGTGAGAACAGCCACAACAACAACAAATTACCGCTCCATGAGAAAACATGTCACTGAGTAACCAACACATGGGTGACAAAAAGGAAACTCAAAAGTCTCTTGGGAAAAATGATGCCACCGTGTAATCCATGAGCCGGTGATGAATTCGACAAGAGAAATTATTTGGAATAAACCAGACTGAAATAAAAAGCATCAAAACACATGGGATACAGCCAAAAAAGCAAACAAACAAAAAACAGTATGGATTATATTATTGGAGTTACACTTTCCACGTTGGTTTCCTTATATAAGAGAGAATATATGGTATTTGTTCTTTTGTGATTGACCCATTTCACTGAGCATAATGGTCTCTAGTTGGGATCACCTGGTTGTAAATCGAATAATTTCATTCTTCTTAATAGCTGAATAATATTCCATGGAGTAGATGTACCACAGTTTCTTTAACCACTCTTCTTTCGACGCACATCTGGATTGTTTCCATGTCTTTGCTATTGTAGGTTGTGCTGCTGCAAATATAGGATTACAGATCCTCTTCTCACATGTAGATTTCACTTCAATTGGGTATATTCCTAGGAGCGGGATAGCTGGGTCATATGGCAGGTTTATTTGCAATTCTCTAAGCACTCTCCATAAAAATAAAGAAGTCTCTGAGAGTGGATGGACCTCGTGGCACAGTGGGTTGGGTGGCCACCTGCAGCAGTGGGATCGCGGGTTCAAGCTCTAGCTGCTCCGTTTCCAATCCAGTTCCCGGCTAACACGTCCTGGGAGCAGGCAGCAACAGAGGGCAGAGAGCCTGAACCCCTGGCTGCTGTGGATATTCAGGGAGTGAATTTGGTGGGTGGGAGACACCAAGACCCCAAACCCTATAGGGTTATATTGAGGCAGAACCCCCTGACTGCCTTCGCTCCAAGTGTCCTTTGTCAAAAGGAATTCACCGACCTGAAGTGACACAGCTGGCCCAGCAAGGTTCCAAGCATCGGACTCAAGCAATCTTGCTTCTTCAGGAGCCAGTGTTGTCCAGGGAATTCCAGATCCAGGCAGGGGGAACTGCAGGAGGTAACCCCCTTCTGCATATAACTGTACAGCCTGCCCCTGACCGACTGGAACCTGACTAACCGTGATAAATTCCCCCGGGGCACAGCAACAAAAGCCAGGTCACGAGCTCCGTTGATGAACTAGGAACTTGGACGTGAGCTGATCATGCACCTCTTAGCCCCAGTTTCAACCTACAAGAACCTTCACCCCTAACTGCTTGGGGAGCCGGGGAATTAAGCATGAGCTGCCCAGCTGGTGGCTCTGCCCGCTGCGTAAACACCTGTTTCCTTTCATCACCCTGTAAACAGCGAGCGATTGGCTTTCTGCGTGCTGGGAGGATGGATTCGAGTTGGGATTGTATAGCATCACCTCCTGTTACTTTGAGGGTTGTTCTGCAACAGTCTCTTTGTCACTCTGCCTTTTAAGTAGGCACAAATAAGTATACTTTTAAAACTTTATTATTTATCTTTTTTAGAAAAATTACTTATTTTTATTGGAAAGACAGACTTACAGAGAGGAGAGACAGAAAGATATTCCATCAGCTGGTTCATTCTGCAAATAGCAGCATGGCCGGAGCTGAGCCAATCTGAAGCCAGGAACCAAGGTCTCTCAAGCAGGTGCAGGGTCCCAAGGCTTTGGGCCGTCCTTGACTTCTTTCCCAGGCCACAAGCAAAGAGCTAGGTGGGGATAATTGCTGAGAAGAACTCTGCCCTGGCTGTCCGTGGATCTCCACTCTGCCGCTGCCTGCGTGGACTCAGGATGGGGAATCCCCGCATTGCCTGGAATCCCTCCTCCTGTTCACACCACCCAGGGGGCTTTCTTCGGAAAAGGATGCTCCGGGTGTGCCCCCCCACACCCTGTGCTGAAGATTTTGTCTTCCCATTTAATTCCAGTTAGGAATCCTCTCGCTTCAAACACATCCCTGGGAGAATAGGCGTGGAAGGTGGCAGCAGGAATGCGTGGAAGATTCTGCCCCTACCACGCCAGCTGAGGACCGGGACAGAGTTAGTTCTAATGGTTGGGTTCGTCTAAAGCAAGGCAAGTGTCTAAAATTCTAAAATTGTCAGGCATTGTTAGTGCAATCCTCTTTTCTATCCTTTTATTTAGTTATCTTTTTTTGAAAGGCAGAGAGAATCCATCCACCGGTTCACGCCCGGACTACCCAAACAGCCAAGGCTGCGTCATTGGGTTGAAGTCCGGAGCCTGGAACTCACAGGGTCTCCTATGTGGCGGTGAGGACTCAAGCATTTATCCACCATCTGCTGCCTCCCGGAACAGTGTCCACAAAAAGCTGGGTTGGAGGTGGAGTAGGTATGACGGACCCGAGCACTCTGATATGTGGTATGTGTTTCCCAAGCAGTAGTGTGACTGAAGGTGCCACACTCTTCACGAAATGAAAATGACCTACTTCTGAACGAACTAAAAAAGGTTCAACTGTTTTAGCTTTCTTTCTAGTGTGTGAATTATTAGAAATTGCTTTACCCCATATACTCTTCCAAGTTTTTGAAACTGGCCATGAAGTACGTTTCTGAGTGACAAAGTGCAGCCTGGTGACCTCCTTGCTTGTCTGCCACTGTACAGTCGTGGTCGGTCAAGGTCTACCTCCCCATGTGCACCTGACTCACAGCTTCCCCATAGCCCGGCCTGCTTGGTTTTGGAGATTTATTCATTATTTGAAAGGCAGAATGATGGAGAGAAAGGGGAACACAGAGAGAGAGGGAGGGGGAGAAGGAAAAAGAGAGAGAGGGGGAAAGAAGGAGGGAGGGCAAGAGAAAGAGAAGGGGGAGAGAGAGAGAGAGATGGATGGAGGAAAGGAAGGAGGGAGAGAAGGAATGAGAGATGCTCCATCTGCTGATTCACTCCCTAAATGCCACAACAGCCAGGCTAATTATTAATAGTACCGTTTTATTCTCTAAAGTTTTACTTATTTACCTTCATTTGAAAGTAAGGACTGGGGCTGGTGCATTGGCTCAACTGGCTAATCCTCCATTTCCAAGTGCTCGCGTTCCATATAGGCACTGGCCGGTTCATGTCCCCACTGCTCCACTTCCTGTCCAGCTAGCTCCCTGTTGGTGGCCTGGGAAAGCAGCAGGGATGGCCCAGTGCCTTGGGACCCCGCACCGTGTAGGAGACCCAGAAGAAGCTCCAGGATGCTGGCTCAGTTCTGGTTGTTGTGGCCATTTGGGGTGTGAACCAACGGGTGGAAACTCTGTCTCTCCTTTCCATAAATCTGCCTTTTAAATTAAAAAGAGAGAGAGAGAGCCATGGGTCTCCTATGTGGGTACAGGGACCCAAGGACTTGAACCATCCTCTAGTGCTGTTTCAGATGTATCATCAGGGAGCTGGATAAGAGTGAAGCAGCCAGGACTCAAAAAAAACAATGTCCATACGGGATACCAGCATTGCACGTGGAGGTTTAACAGGCTATGCTGCAATGCCGGCCCCTCTTTGCCATTCTTCTGTCTGGTCTGAGTCTCCCACGCAGGTACAGGGTCCCAAAGCTTTGGACCGTCCTTGACTGCTTTCCCAGGCCACAAGCAGGGAGCTGGGTGGGAAGCGGAGTCGCTGGGATTAGAACCAGTGCCCATATGGGACCCCAGCACATTCAAGGTGAGGACTTAAGGTGCTATGCTATCATGTCGGGCCCAGAACCATTACTTGATGATACCTTACAGACTCTGATGTTTTGTCCGACAGTAAGGAGCAGTGGTAGCGGAAGGAAAAAAGACTCTGGGATGGGGAAGAATGTTAGGGGGTGTTACTAGAGTGGTTTTGATAATTCTGAAAAACCGTCAGCTCAGAAAAGCTTTGCAAGGTCTATTGGCTGACCAAGTCCATCTCCCATTCCTGCATCTCATGTGCACTGGCAAGTGTGTTCACAGACCCGACACTTGTTGCAAAGCTTGGCCAGGATTGTTGTCCAAACGGTTCTTTGCATCCTCTAATGAGATAGTCAGTGTTCCCTGCTGGGCTGGAGGAGCTGGCTGGCATGTCCCCGTTGAGCATCAGCAGCTGAGGTGTCCCAATCCTGACACATGTTCTCCAAGACTGGCCTACATATTTTATGACTTTTCCCTGTAGCTGAGGTTTGCGTCCTGTGATCTAGTTGGGAAGTCCCCCAAGAAACCTTGCCTGGGCTGACCTCAGACTTGACTTATATGTGCACCAGCTGTTCAGGGTCACATTCGGTCTGTCACCCACACCAGCCACCAGACAGACTGGTGGACACAGCTGCTTGGTCAGTGTATCCTGCAGCCCCATACCTCACATCAACTGATGGGTCCTGCGACCTAGTTGGGGTGACTCCCAATAGCCCTCCTTGGCCTGCCTCCAAGTCTCGGTTTTTGTGTATGCCAGCATATGCTGTGACCTAGCCTGGTCTGCCCCGCATTCCATCCGGCTCTTGTGCATACCCATGGGTGCTGCAGCTTAGCTCAGCCCAACCAGCTCTAAGACCCGACCCATAAGTATACCAACAGGTGCTGGCTTGCCCCCAGCCCTGTTCCTCATGCTTATCAGTGGAAGCTGAGCCCAGCAAGGGGGTACCCAGTTTCCCTACCAGGCCTACTCCCAGCTCTGGATCTTGTGTCTGCCAGGATAATATTAACTGCATCCAGAACCAGCTGGTGCTGCAGCCGAGGTGGGCTGGCCTGCACCCATTCTGGCTCTCTCTTGTGCCAGTGGGTATGGTGACCTAGCCTAACCTGGCCTATCCCCAGACTTAGCCCAAATGCTGGCTAATGGTTACTGCAACCCTGCCCAGTCTGATCTCTCAAGCTCACCAATGGAAGCAGTGGTACAGCAGGAAGTTCCTCTATCAGGCCTGCCTCTAGACCTGGGTCCTGTGCATGCCAGTAGATGCTATAGCTCAGCATGAGATGGCCCATCTCCAGTCTCGGTACTTGTCAGCAGGTGCTTCAGCCTGGCTCAACCTGGCCCACCCCCAGTCCCAGCTCTCACTGACAGCTGCAGCAGCCTAGTTCATTGTAGTCTACTCCCAGGCCCAGGCCTCATGTGGACTGGTGGGTGTTACAGTCCAACCTGGCTTGGCCTGCACCCCATTCTGGCTCTTTCATGTGCAATGTATCTGTGGACTGGTTCAGTCCAAGCTTTTCCCAGACCCAGCCCACACATATGCTGAGTCGTACTATAGCCCAGCCTGACCTGGCCTACCCCCAACTCTCACACTTACCAGCAGGAGCTGGGACCTAGCAGAGGAGTTTCCCAAGTTCACTTCCCAAGGCTGCTCCAAGCCCCAGATCTTGGTACTGCCAGTAGGTGTTGCAACCCACCCTGACATGGCCAAGCTCCAGTTCTGGCACTTACCAACGGGTACTGTGACCTAGCTCAAGTGGCCCACACCCATTCTGGGTCTCACTAATGGGTGCTACAACTTAGCCCAGCCTGGACAGAACTCTAACAAGGGCTGCATCCTTTCCCAGCCTGGTCCACTCACAGCTCTGGCTCTCACACTTTCCCGTGGGAGCTGTAGTCTAGCAAGGGAGTCCCCAAAATTCCCCTACCAGACCTGTTCCCAGCCAAAGATCTTGCATGTGCTGCCTGCAGACTCAACTCTTACTAGAAGATGTTGCAGCCTAGCCTAGCCAGGCATGGTCCACATCCTGTCCTGGCTTTAATACATGCCAGTGGATGCCATGGCCTGGCCCAGCCCAGCCTGCCCCCAGTCCCAGCTCACACAAATGCTGACAAGTGTTGTGGACTTGCTTGGGCTGACCCTCTCCCAGTCCTGCATCTCATGAGTACTGGTGGTGTCACAGCCCTGCTTGGTATGATTTGCCCTCTGTCACAGCCTTTGCAAGTACTGGTGGGCACCACTGATTGTAATAACATTTTACAGGGTAAGAAATTGGAAGGAATGCTCAGTCATGGACGAATTAGCAAGCAAGGGCTAGCATAACAAAATGTGCAGTTATTTAAGATTTTCAATAACAGGGAAACTGTGATGTAATGAAACTAGCAGGCTATGAAATTAACCAATCAGCATAACTGAGTTGTACACAAGTGCAGAAAGGAAAATTATGCAAAGATATTAA